ATGGTCACCTTCTACAGCGTGCAAGATGAAAGTGGAATAAAAGGTGGAAAAGAAAATGGTAGCCTAAGCCAGATCTAKACAAGGGAAGGGGACAGGTAGCAAAGTAACTTATGGAAACATGCCCTTAGAATAAGAAACCTCCTCACCAGGTATTTTTCCCATTTGGCTCTAAAAATCCAACAGCAGTAGGAGACCTGGAACTGACTTTAAGAATTAGTAACACCTGGGGTGGGGCTGGGGCTGGGGTGCAGCGTTAGTGCACTTTCCTGGCATGTGTGAGACACTGGGTTCAATTCTCAGCACCCCATATAAATAAATAAATAAAATAAAGATTTATCAACAATTAAAAAAAAAAAAGAATTAGTAACACCTATGCCTGAGCAGGGAATGGGCAGCTAAAAATCCTAGTACACAAGATACCTTAAGCTTCAAAAATGGTAACAATGTTTTTTCTCCAATAAATCATTCACTGGCTACTTTGAAGCTGCTACATTTTAACTTAAAAATGAGAGAGGAAGCTACTGTGTATCTGAAAGATGTTCTGCACTACTAGGGATTTTTAAAATCATATAATAGATAAAAAGATTATAAAGGCCTGGGGTGGGGATGAGGGTGGTGGTGGTGGTGGGGAGCTAGCTCAGTTATAGAATGCAGGGCTCTAGGTTCAATCACCAGCACATTCCCATGCATGCACACACATTTTTTTGAATATGGAATATGCCAAATGTGATCAGATATAATATACATTTAAAATAAGTGTTTTCATTTAGAACTAAAAATGATCAAATGGTAGTTTACCAAAGATTGGCTTTATGTGACTAAAATGCCTATTAAAGTCAAAAGCCCTGCTAAAGCAAAAAGATTAGATTGCATGTTACGACAGAACTTTCCAGACTTGTCTTTGAGTGGTTAAAATAATCATTTTATGTAACTGAAGTTATTTTAATGACTATATTTAGTAAGGGTGTGGTTCTTTCCAGTTAGAACATTTTAAACTCTTAAATGATTATTCAATATTCAGACCCAACTATTAGGGGCTATTTCCTTTCATTCTTGTCCATTTAAAGACTGTTTACATGGATTTCTTCTCTGTAGTTACATTTTACTTTGACTTTTCTTCACTTGGAATCTATTATAAAAATAAAATTTAAAATTCAGGCTATCCTCATGAAAGATTAACTTTCCAAGAGATATTGCTGTCATTTAAGGCAAGAGTGTGATGCAGTCATTTCTTTTTTTAGCCATGAATTCCTTAGAAAAGTAAAACAACCTAACTTTGCATCATCAGGGATTTTAAAAATAGCTTTCACAAACTCATATTTGTTATTTTAAGATTAAAAATCTTAATAATCATATTCAAATTGTTAATAAATTGCCAGATGTTCGCATCATTCATTCATTCACTGTTTACCAAGAACTTCCTTTAGTGCCAAACAAACTCTGGCTACATGTTGTGATTTTTTTAAAAAAATTTTTTTGATTTTTAAATTTTCTTTAAGTTGAATATGGACAACAGTATCTTTGTTTTACTTGTTTATTTTATGTGGTGCTTAGGATCTAATCCAGTGCCTCACATGTACAAGGCAAGCACTGTACCACTAAGCCACAACCTCAGCTCCTACATGCTGTGAATTTTTAAAAAACTAAATTAAGTGAATCAAAACATGGTGTTTCTTCTCAAGTGACTTGGCTTTATAGAGGTAGACAAGTAAGAAAATAATTATAATAAAATTAGAATTCTTTGCTAGAAGAATATGTAGAATTACAGTAATGATGAGAAGATAGGTTCAACAGTTTCTCCCAGGGTAGGGGAAGTGGGGCAAGTATCAGGGATGGCAATAACCAGAGGAGGCTTTACAAGATAGGACAATTGATTTGGATTTGAAGAGCATGGTTATTATTCACCAGCTAGAAGGGTATGCACAAATGCAGAATAGAGAGTAGGCTTGTGTGATTTGGTCATGAAAAATGTCTTCGTCCTTTCATTATGACAGAACTCAGTATTCAACACACAGGAGTTCATAAATGTTTCAGTCCCTTCCTTTCACATTATCACTGGTACTTCTCAGAGCTCTTTCCTTTATCACTTGTCTTCATACTTACCCTCTCCTGCATGTAAAGCCTTGTCACTCAAGCCAGGCTTAGGAATTAGGCAACTTCTTCATCTCCTGAAGTAGTCACTCATGGATTTCTGCTGTGCTTTTTATCTTTCTGCTTTCTCATATATGTTTTCTCTACGTGCCTACTATCTCTTCCCTAAGTCAAGTTTTTGTGCTATCCTCTATACTACTAACACAGAAAGTCATTCTTTCCCTATTTTCCTTGCCTACAGAATTTGCTAAAGCAAATTCTCTAAAGTTCAAATATGGCCATACCATTTGCCTGCTTACACTTTTCCTTTGGCCTCTGTAGTTTTGACATACTGCCCAAATCCCTTAGCCTGGCATATAAGGGTCCCCATCTTCCCCTATGCTTCTTTCTAGCCCCACTTCCCCTTACCCCTCACCCATGTGCATCTTTTGTTCCAACTGCTGAATTCTTGAAGGTCTCAGCATACCTTAACTTTGTCTTTCTCTGTGACATTCTTTCATCACTGTCTATCCTTCCCAAATTCCTACTGGCCCTATCTTCATTTCACCAACTTTATTCGATATTCCAACCTAGCCTGGTTTGTCAGGCAACTTTTGACCCACCATAATACATATTACACTTAAAACAAAGGTTTATGTGTCTGTCATATCAAGCTGTCTTGAGGGCAGGGATGATGTTATGCATTTCTTACCACCTAGATTTTTAAACATCACTGGTATATGGCAGGTACCCACAAATGTTTGTCAAATGAATGAAAGAGTGATATCCTCTAACAATTTCAGACTATATGCTATTTTAGTTTATAGTATAGTGTTCTTAGTAAGTAGTGTTGTTCTGTGATATACAGTATTGACATTCTCTTCTTCACCCAAGTGTTTTGAGCATCATGACCATTTAAAAGGTTAGAAAAGAGTTTAGGAATATAATAACTCTATTTATGCGTATGTTTCCAATTACAGAATTACTTCTAAATATGAGATTTTTAAAAAAAAAACTTAAGCATTAACAATTTGCGATACACCATTTTGTGCACGTGATTTTTATCCTAACATTTATTTTTTGTTCATTTGATTGAATTTATAACTACATAAACCATAATGAAGGTAACTAACTTTTAGTAAACTGTTGGATGGTCCTCTGTCTGCAGACACAGTTCAGCCATTGTTCTCAGCTCTGTATGGGAGTGAGATGGAACAAAGTCATATGGTTCAGAGAGTGAGAAGCTAGATTACTTTTCTTCCCACAGTCAGAAAGGAAATGTGTGCCATTTAAGGAGGGGATAAAACTTTTGAGACCATTTTGGAAAAACATAGATATTGAACATCCAATATTAACAGAATCCCTGAATGTGCATGGCCAAAGCTAAAGATTCCAGGAAAATCCTGGATTGTACMGAACAGGAAGGGAACAAGAACTTAGGGCAAGCAAGTAAGCATTGTGTGGCCTCCACGCCTACCCTTTCAGCCCAGGTTTATAAAAGAGCCATAATTTAGTCCCAAGTATACTTTTTTGATCTTTTTTCCATCACATATTATAGTAATCTTGAAATAGTGCTGKGTTTCCTGAGGCTTCTACTGCTGACCACCAACCCCTCCCTAGAGAGCACTGAGCGACAGATACTGTAAACATCCTACACTCTCAGCTGTGGCAAGTAAGAAAGCTGGGAGAAGGCTGTTTACTCTCTCTGCCTTGGAAATCAACTTTGAGGAATGGATTTGGAGTATTTCTATATGTCACATTTGATACTATCCAGTGGTCCTTTATTTATGAGATCAACTCCAAGAGGAACAAAAAGGTAAATTAATGAATTCATGCTAAGAAACGTAAAATAATTTGTCAGATGAGTTGTCTTTGAACTATCTCACATTATTATTATTTTTTTTAAGTTACCAAATACCCAAGAGATGAAAGTTTTGGTAACTGGTATAAAGCTACATTTGTGGATTGCTGTGGCCTGTTTTATAAAAGCACCAGAACATTAAATGATTGCACATTAGGACAAAACAGTTATCCATTAACCTGAGTTGCATGTAAACATTGTGTTTGACTCTTTTGAAGCAAAAGTTCTGGTATTCTGGGACTTGCTACTTTATCAGATGCAGTTGGGAGCCCCATGCTTGGAGTAGTAATGATATACAATATGAAAAAAAGCCTGCTATGTAAAGTCTGAATATAGTTATACTTTTAAAGCAAAAATAAGGGATAGTGGGAGATGGGGGTGGCATGTAAGAAGAAAGTTTTAAGAAAAAATCTACAGAACTAACTTGTAGGTTCAGCCTTAATGAAGAAAATTTCTCCATACTCCATTTCTTCTTCTAGTAAATGATTTATATCAAACATTTATTGAACATCTAATCTAGAATTTGACTTACCCCAAATTTGAGTCTTGTTATTTTCTAATCAATATTAAATAAGCCTTCTTTTTAAAGAGAATATTTAAATAATAAAGTATATTCTTATATAGCAAGCCCTTATGAGGTTAATTATATCTGCTTTAAATATTAAATCTTGACACAATTACTTCCATTATACTCTTGGCATATAAGCATCAGTCACGTAAACTAAGACACACTATTGCTTTTAAAAGTATTAAAGGAAGTTTTCATTTCACTTCCTCCCTGTGTTTAGAGTATAAGACAATAGGGAAGATTGTTTCATAAGAGTCTAACAAAAAACTGTGTGTGAATACAGTGACTTTAGCATGTGGTCTCAAGGAAGTATTCGAACAAGATGGTTTTGCAGTGGTAATGAACACTGCTAAAGTGCTTGCTGAGTCACTCAGCTTGGTTGAGTCATTAAGTGTTGTCRATTTTGCCTGCAGACTTAAAGCAACCCTCTTATAGACAATGCTCTCCAGTATTCTCAAAAGAATAATTACTGTGAGTGTTTGAAATTTTGCTTTCTACCAGGAAATGTGGATTGCATGGGTGAGGACAAAAGCTGCTGGAAGTGGAAAGAAGAGGGGTCATATGTGTCCTCCTACAGTTATTCCACCTGAGTTAAAAGAATGGAACATTGGCACATTCCAGATCTAAGTGGATATTACCTTTCAGTCATGAATGTGAATGCTTCAAAGCTTATTTAAATATATGCCAAAATTTATTTCATTATTCAAGAAATATTTATGGAACACCTACTATGTGTCAGTTCTAGGCACTGGGAATATAGCAGAACACATAAACAAAATCCTTGCTGTCCTGAAACTTACAGTGGTAAGTGGTGTAATAGGAAGATTAAAAAAAGATTGTTTATTCTATGTAAAATTGTTAATTTTATCAAATGGTATTATTGCTTTTTTGAGTCTTTTAAAACCAAATAAATTTAAATATTTAAGAACAACATTTTGTTGTGTATGAAAGCCTGGATATAAACCTACATAATATTTTGAGCTTTTTATTCAGCATTGTTCTAGATATGTTCCCACTGCAGCTAATAATGAGACATAAATAAGTAGTATTTACAAGAATGTTTGCACAGTCACTATTGTATATATATATATATATTTGCTGAGATAAATTGTTAATCAGTTAAATGAAAAGTTATGTTTGTGTGCYTTTATATTGCATATTATTTACATTCAAATTATTTGCATATGATACAAAAGTAAACTTTATTATTTGAGATTTTGATCAGGTTTATACCTCTCTAAGTACTGCTAAATWTAGTTTATTTATGTTTATATTATATGTATTCCTAAACAAATGCTGTAAAGACTTTAAAAGAACAAGCTATATTTAAATGTAAACATTTTTATTTGGAAAAAAATGTTTTAATTGATGATTCATTGTAAGCATAATTGTGTCATTAAACACTCAATGGAAAAAAAGTGTATGTATAGTATATTTTATTTATCTATGAATTATGGTCTCTTTGTTCCTATTTGTTTAATGTCTTTAATATGTTTGTGATTGTGCATATTATGTATGCATGAACATATATGTATAGACACACACACATATATACATACATACACATAATATCTAGTGGTGATCTATATTTATAAACTATTCCAGCYTAGATTTCTCAAGATTTGAATACAACTTCATTCTCTTGTGCATTTTAAAAATGCAGAAGGCAAGTTCTTAGTCACAACATCTGTTTGGGGGGTATTATTTTGGTTCACTCTGTCATTGAAAAACTGCGTGGTTAATATATAAAAATCATCTGTATGTCTATAGAGCAGTAACAAGTAAAAATGAAAAAATTTAAAGATACTACTTAAAATAGCATCAAAAAAACTCAAATTCCCCAAGGATAAATCTAACAAGATGTGTAAGTTCTTTATACTGGAAACTAAATATTATTGAGAGAAATTAAAGAAGACCCCCACCACCACCAAATGGAAAAATATACCATGTTCATTAAGAACAGGACTCTGTATTCTTAAGGAGCTAATTCTCCCCCAGTTGATCTGCAGATTCAGTGCAATCCAAATGAAAATATAAGCAGATATGTGTGTTCATTTGGAAACTGATAAACTGATTCTAAAATTCAAACAATGAAGAATAATTGCAATACTCTTAAAGAAAAAAATGAATAAATTAACCTACCATATAGCAGAATTTAGAGTTATGGCAGTTATAAGAGTGTGGTATACACACAGATATACAGTAGATAGAGACACCACTGTGGTAAAGATGACACTAAGTTGTACTGAGGACAGAATGATCTATGGATATAAATATGAAAGGTAAAACAGTAAAGCTTCCAGGAAAGAAAATATAGAATATCCTTATGACCTTGAATTGGGTAAAAGTTCCCCTAAAATACTCACATGACAATATTGACCAGAAAGGAAAAAAAAACATAATTTAGATGATAATAATATTAAGAACTTCACTCATCAAAAGACAAAATTAAGAAAATGAAAAGGCAAAGCATATGGATGAAGATGTTAGCAGTGCATGTAACAGAACTTATATCCAGATTATATAAAAGATTCCTATAAATTAATAAGAAAATACAAGCAAATGAAAAATGAGCACCCATGAACAGATAATTCACAAAAATATTTATAATGATCATTTAATAAAGATGATCAATTAATGTAAATTTGCTTAGTCTAATTAGTTATCAAGTAAACATAAATAAAAAGCACAACTCAGTGCTGAGACATGCCTATTAGAATGAGTACATTTAAAGAAAAAAAAAAGCTGTTGTCAAGAATATTAAGTTACACTGCTGATGAGATCATAAGATGATATAACCACTTTAGAAAAACTGGTGGATCTCTGCTTATGCTCAATATCTGTGTCCTATGTCTCAGTTTTTACCTACTTCACAGAAAGTTGTACAATGTTATCCAAATAAATAAGTAAATGAATAAATAAATATAAATGTTCGTAACAGCACTATTTGTAATAGCCCCAAATCAGAAAATACCCAGATTTCAATCAACAATAAAATTCATCAAGTTATAGATTTATATTTATATAAGAGAATTTCAACTTCACCCAAAATTATGTGTGAATTTCACAAACATAAAGTTGAACAAAATAAAAAAGACATTATGTTTCTATTTATGTTACATTTAATAACAGGCAAAACTGTATCTATGGTGATAGAAGTCAGGGTATAGTTACACCATCAAGTGGACTGATAAGTGTAAAGGGACATGATGAWCAGGATTTCTTAGGTGGTGTGATGTACTCACTTGCCTGAGTATTGGTTATAAAGGTGTCCATTTATGAAAACTACTCAGCCTAGAATTCATTTAGGCAGTTCTCTGAGTATTATGGTTTGATTAAACAAAATTGAAAATAAGTATTAAAAATATTAATTTTAAACTATATCACCTGATCTTAGATAAGGCAGGTAGAACCCTTACYTAAGAAGTCCCTAACATTCAAGGTCAGCCTCAGCAATATAGAAAGGCCCTAAGAAATTTAGCAGGACTCTGTCTCAAAAAAATAAAAAAAAGGCTGGGGTTGTGGCTCAGTGGTTAACTGCCCCTGGGTTCAGTCCCTAGTACCAAAAAAAAAAAAAAAAAAGTCCCAAAGAGATTTTCTCATTGTCTCAAAACATAACAATAGTACATATCCTGGAGAAGAGTCTTCAAACCTAGGACACTACAGGAGGTCTGAAAGAGAAATATCTGGATGATCTTTAAAATAATCACAATTAAAGAACAAAATTACCTGACTAGAGAAATGCCCCGTGACTTCAGAGTTACTCCAAAGATTCTACAATGTTGAGTTTATCAGAAGCTTTATCACCAAGAAGCCAAGAATGTCTTAAAATGCATCCTACTTGGCTCAGGTAGAAAAACAATATTTTAACTTACAAATTTTATGGGGTAAGTGAGTTATTCCTATAGTTTAATAATGCCCATTATTGGAGAATTTGACAACACCCAAGACTTGGTTGCATCACTCAGACATTAGAAAGCTATGAATTTCTAACTGTACTAAACAGCTCTCAGCACTAGACTTAGATGTGTCTTTAAAAATGTCATTTAAACCACCTTTGAATTTTAAAATAATTCCAATACACGTACTAGCCCAGTCATGAGTATGTATGAATAGACTCAGAACCTGCCTGTGGCTCTTTTTTGGATGTGGTAAGTCTTCCTGACATCACTGCAGTTATGCTGGGCTGTTCCATCCTGTCCCACTCCATAGACACCCACTTGGTGAGGTCATCACATTGGGTGGCAGGGGCAAGCAAATAGATGTGCCCACCTTCAAGAAGCTTCTAGTTTTGTGGGGATAACACCTGCTGAGCTTGTTGTTAAATATATGTTACAGTGACTCTTTGTAAAGTTCTCAAGAATAATCTACTCCAGTTCACTCTGATGGGAGTGGAATCTGATTCAGTCAGTTTTTACCAACTTATTCTTTCCCGGGTACTCAGTCAGCCAGTGCTAGGCAGCAGAGAGCCTGGCCTCTATTATAGTAATTATCTTCATCATACCCAGTCATCACTGGATTCTCTACATTCTAGGAGCAGTGCCAGGGGTCAAGAGAAAATACTTGGTGTCTTTACTATGTGCTGGGCACTATTCTAAATGTTTTGTTCATATTAACAGACTTAATCTTCACAGGTAAATAGTAGGCATGCATATTATTTTTCAGGTGAGAAATCTGATGACAGAGACCTTTTAGGTTACCCAAGGTTATGCTTATAGGGCTTGGAACTGGGATTTCAACTTTGGCAGTGTGGTGCCAGAGATTTACTCTTAATCATAATGCAATAGGCACAAGTGTCCTCCTCTGTTAGACATTRTTGTCCCAGTTTTGGGGGGAACAAAATTGAAGTAGAAAGAATTAAGAAAATGTGGTAGTCACCGAGGTTGTTCACAAATATTCCACTTCTTCCCTTTTGGCACATGAGAAATTACACTTCTCCATACCTCTGAGGCTAGGTATGGCTATGTGACTTGCTTTCTTGTGATCAGAAGTGCCTAAATTACTTGCCCAAACTTCAGCAGCTTATTCATGTCAGATTTATGTCTGAAATCCAGGCTTTTCTGACTCAACAGTTCATGGCATTTCACTTAATTACTCTTATGGTATTGCACATTCTGCAGTAACCCAAACAACTTAAGTTCTTTCACTTGCCTTCTAATTTTATAATAATAATGAAAGTGCTTACAAGTTCTACCTGATGTTCAAGATTTGTCCAGGATTAAGACCGTGTAAAAGAAAATTCTGTCTTCCTCTGGTCCATGTGTTTCGTCTGGAGTTTAATATCATGATCTTTAGGCTCTTGAGACTTTTTTTTAAATTCTGAGATTCAAGTTCTAGCCATGAACTAATTTGTTCTGAGTGTTATACAGATTTCTTGGTACAAGTTGGTACATGACTTCACCCCTTTTTAGATTAATTGTCTCTCATTCACAACACTGACTCTGTAAAGTAATCCTATTTTAAACATACATATGTGTGTGTATTTATATATATATAAATACATACACATACACTATATATATATATATAGTGTATGTGTATGTATGTGTACAGGTGCACATGTATATATACATGTGTGTGTGTGTGTGTGTGTGTGTGTATCACTTTCTTTATACAAACAAACACAAAAACACAAAATTATCTAGGTTTGCATGCTTAAACTCTGAATTGTGGGGATTTCCCAGTCTAAGAGCTAAATCAATTTAGCTGTATAGCACTGGTTATCATGACCATGAACAACAGAAAACCACATGAAATTCTGAACATCTTTCCTAAGGACTATTTTCCTGAAATCTACATAAATAGAAGACTTTGGCCTCTTGCATTATTTGAGCTATTTGAATGACTTAGGTGACATTAGATGCTCGTGTCATACTGAAAAGAAAAAGAGAAGCATTTATTCCCTTAACTAGCAGTGTCACCTAACTAGCAGTGTCTTTCTGTTACTTACTGAAAATGGACTCAGATTGCTTACTTTAACTCTGTACTTGACACATTTAATCACAAAATTCCTAATCCCTCATTCCATTACTCCTTTAACATTTTTAAAGTTTGTTCATAATCCTGCCTCATTCCAAAAATGACCAGAGGCAATTTCTATGTATGTATTTGCTTCATCTTGGTAAATACCTATTAATGATACTGAGCTAGCTTTTGTGCAATTATCTGTACAGTGAATAAATTGTACAGGTTGGGTTTTCTTGTATTTATTTTGAAACAATTATGAAATTATAATTTTAGATCCTGTTGCAAACATTGTATGAAGAGGTCCTATGTACTTGTTACTTAGTTTCCCCCCCCACCCATGGTTAAAAAGTTTTAGTACAGTATTGAGAAACTG